TGTGTGTGTGTGTGTGTGTGTGGTAGAAGTATCGGTTTTTGTACTCTGTATCGGCAAGTACTCAGATCCAAGTATCGGTATCGTCTCGGTTTGAAAAAATTGGTATCGTTGCATCCCTAGTATGTACACATCCTCAACACTGCCTTTACTATCCTGGTAAAACTGCACCTCAAGCATCTATTTTTTTTAAGTCCTAAATTGTTTCCCATTTAAAACAGAATCTACCTAAAATTAAAATTACTGATCTTCAAGAAGAAACTGCAAGTGAAAGCACTTAATAATAAACAATTAACTTAACAGAAAATGTACAGAAGATGCCTTCTTGTTCATCTTGTCAGTTTATTCTTTTTTTTCCTTTTTACAAAACCCAAAACCATCTTGAGGATGCTTGGTACTTGGAACCGAGAATGTCTCAGTATAATAGCTGTTCCAAACTCCTTAAATATGATGTCTGATGAATGCTTTCTATGATACAGTAAACACAAACACACCAAAACTGAAATCACCTTATTTAACTTCAATGAAAACATACTAGAAACTACAGTAAGTGAAACTGAACTACAATGAAAAACAAAAATATCCCTAAAACAGCCATTGTGCCATTTTCACTTTTCTCCCTCTTTACACATGAACCAAACAATGTGTACAAGTTCATGTATTTCCCTCTCCTTTTATTTGGGTTCAACTAATGTGTTTGATGAAGAAAAAAAGATCATGCAGCTGCAGTCATTACAAGGATGACAGTAGTGCTTGCCTGAGTATGGAAACCAAGCTGGCCATCTGTGTCCCATATTGTCAGTGTCAATGTTGCGTGAATGACACATGCATCTTCTTATAATGATCACAGTGTGTGCTCCTTAACTAGTTTGGATGAAACGTGCTATATAAACTGCTTAGGCTACAAGGAATATCAACATTTATATAACGTTTGAGAATTGTTTTTATAACACTTAACTGCTTGCAATTATATATATATGAGCTGTTGTAGATGATCTAAAAATGAACACCATTACGCTCTAGTGCGACTGAATTGTCCTCTTATATATTCTACATGTTATGTTTGGTGTAATGTCAAAATAAATGGCAATGCTATGTGTTACATGTATGTTGTTACGTTACATGTATGTTTCTAAATACATTTTGTTAAACTATTTTTAGTGCAGTGCAACTTTGTGTTCTCATTTATATATGTGAAAAAGTCGAATTAATTATTATTGATAAGTAACTGATTACTTTGTCAAAGAATATGTAGCTTGCAAAAACGAACAACAATAAACACATTTATGTACTATTTGTTTGATGTTCATCAACACCTGTTTTTGCCATCAAAAAAAAATAACATGATAAATTAACATGCACCTCTGTATTTCTATACACGAACAAAGCAAATAAATTCTGTAGGCCTGGCAAAAACTTCCTGTAGGGTCGTAGGTCGCATTTTTGCTAGTTATGTTGAGGATTGTATTTGTCAAGAGAATGCTGCAAAAGCAAAGGAAACAGGCTGAGGAGAGGTACACATTAATCATATTCTGTAAATGAGATTTTTCACTGAACTGCAGCAGCAGAAACTCTAGAAACTTTCAGTGTGAGGAAAGCAGAGGGTCTACAGTATGAAACTATGATTGTCACAGGACCATATAGTGCTCACAGTTTCTATTCTGAGCTCTTAGGCAGCAGTAAATGGTCTAATTACTGCTGAATGTCAGGAAAATTGGTGGCAACCGCAATGTGGCAGGAACACGGCTTCATTTAGAAAGAGAATGCTCTCATGGCTGCATCAAAGCATACAACAGGGGTCGGCAACCCTGGGCACGCGTGCCAGCTGGCATCCACACTGACATTGGGCATAACGGGCATTTGCCCGATGGTGATTTTTAGTCTTTATGGGCCAATGTTTTTTTTTTGGTTGGGTTTTTTTTTTTTGGGAACGGCATGGACAATGGGAAGTGGTGGGCTGGCCAGATGCTGGCCGATGTGTAAAAATAACTCGGTTGTTTGGTAGTGGCTATGGCTGAGCTTCCACAGAGGCCAGCAGGTGGATGAGGGAAGGGGAGGCAGGAGGAGGAGAGACCCGAGGTCAGTCTATCTGGGTCAGATATAAACCAAGTTTAGGTTTAGTTTATTTTCGTTGTGCTGACTTTTTACAGTCAGTTGCAATAACTCGCTAGCTAGCATGACGGAGTTTCTATACAGCTGGGTGGGTGCTACGATGCTACTGATAGTGAACTTTATTTTATTCATAAGGTTAGTTAGTAGAGTTGCCAACCGTCCCGTAAAAAGACGGAATCCTCCCGCATTCAGAGAAATTATTACGCGTTTCGTGTTGAGCTGAGAGGGGACACAGTTTGTCCCGGACTTCAGCTACAATGAAAAAGACACAAAGCTGGAGTTATTCTTTGTCTTTGCTGCACAGCTGCCTCTTCTTCTCTCATTCTCTCCCCTCCCTCTCCTGTTTCTACTTCAATCATAAAACTGATCAATGATCAGCTGATCGGCTTTTCTCTCTTGTTTGTTTATCGTCCACTTTGCGCCAGAAAGAGAAAACCAGTAGATGTCGCACTAAACAACAGCAGGATGTTTAAGCTTGATCAGCTGTTGTTAGAATTTATTTAATATTAATTTGTAGTATCAGCTGATGTTTGCTGGAGCCACAGCTGTAAAGCTGCTGGTCATGATGTCGGTTTGGATATGTGGTGAGAGGGAAACATGAAGATGAAACCAGGAGATGTCCTTACTGAATCATCAGAGCTGTGATGGAGAAACAGGTTTACCTTTTAGGTGACATGAATGAGTTGAAGTGAAGTTATGAACTGTTTCTGAGAAATAACACCAGGATCCTTTTCTAAGTAGCTGACAGCTGGTAACTGTGCAGGGCCGGGTCTAGCAAAGTTATGCCAGGGGGGCAGGTAGGGCATTAACAGGGAGAGGGGGGCACAAAGAAATACTTTTCTTTCTCATTCTCATTTAAAATGTCTGGCTTTTATTAAATAATTATCTGAAGCTTACAACCAAAGTTTTTATCTGACGCAAAATGTATAGAAATCATACATATACCAACAAGACAGCGTACATCACTGTCACAACAGCGTTTGTTTGCATTCAAAGGCTTTATGGCTTTTCCTATAATACCTGGGGGGCCGATCTCTAGTCAAAATGCCCGGGCTGATTTTTTGTCCCAATCCAGCCCTGGGCACAACACGCAGTTAATTAATTTGAGCAGGTGTATTAAAAAATAAATGGCCGGGCCAGCGGTGCACATTGCAAATTAGCTTGCATAGATACATTAGTTGTGCTGCTTCTCAATGACGGTATCTTAGCTAACAACCCCAACTACCAGATTCAACTTGTAATTGGCTAAAAATAACTTAGTCTACCGGTGAGAGGGACGTTGCTAGCTGGCAGTTTTTTCAAGCGATGTTGAAATTTCCACATTCCGACACTTCAAATGCTTCAGGAGCTGTCCGCTCAGCACAGCATCAGCACCGCGGAAATCCGTAGACTCAAGACAGAATTCACAATGCGTTTTCGGGACTTTCAGGTGTATGGACCAATGTTTTATTTTCTGATCAAACCAGAAAGCTTTAATGAGCAGCTGGATTTGTCTCACATTAACTGGCTGGACACAGAGGACATCGAAATGCAGCTGATTGAACTGAAAAGCTCGACTCTGTGGGGGTCAAAATTTGCAGAACTACGAACTCAGCTGGAATCCACAGCTGTGCGTGTTCATGGAGCTGCATTTTCACCTGCTGGACATCACTACCTGACAAGTTTAACTGTCCTCAGAACATTGCAGAGGCATTATTGACAGTATTTGGCTCTACATATCTGTGTGAGCAGATATTCTCTCACACGAAGAGAGTCCTCAGGTAGCCTCTGAATGCTGGACACTCGGAGACCTGTGTTTCTGAGTGGGAGACCAGAGATCACATTAACATGTGTATCCCTGTATTAACAAACATGCCATATTGGCACAGTTTATTTTTCTTATCATTCTTGTGAGGATACTATAAATAGCATTTGCATTTTCTGTTGTACAGTTCATTTGTTGTTATGGAGTTCTTGTTATGGATAAAAAGTCTCTTTTTTTTGTTTCAAAATAGCTGATAACTATTCGCTGATAGCTGCCAACATCTGCAAACAAATATAATTCTATAAAGTTGTTATATATAGTGTGTAACTGTTAGTATAGAGCGTTATTAAATTTATTGCTAATGCAATCATATGGCACATTGACTTCTGAGGAAATTTTAGATGGCACTCATCATCAGAAAGGTTGCCGACCCCTGGCATACAATATGATACAGAAAAATTATTGGGTGTCAAGATTTTCCTACTTTTACACTGGTTGTACTACCAAACATAAAAGGTAAACCAACCCACTGTTTGAATTAAGCTATCCATATTTAAGTGAGCGCTGCAAAGCTTGATTAACCATAAAGACCTAATGGAGTCCTCTGGAAGATGAAACATCCCCAAAACAGATCCACCAAAATTGTTCACATTTGACTTTTAAAGAGTCTCTAATTCAAAATTTTTATTTTTTTATTTTTATGTTTTGATGATGAAAGGACTGAATTTCTGTTCACTTACTCTATCCTCCTGTTTTGTTTTGTTTTTTTAATTATGCTACTCCTTTCCCATCTTTTCACACGTTTGGAGAACTTGAGTGCTCAAATAGAGCAAAAACAAACTGCTTGCATCTCTACCATTTATTATTATTATTATTATTATTATTATTATTATTATTATTATTCCCATTTTCTGTTCTTAGACAGAGTAAAGCCTGGCTGACCACTGGCCACTTCTCCATTTTTATGCCAAGAACAAAAGTCATCATCTACCTTCTCTTGAATTTCCTGCTTCTCCTTTAGGGCGTCCTCAAGCTGGGCTTGAAGGTCACTGATCTGAGCCAGGTTCTGAGCCGACTGAAACCCCCAAAAATGGAAAACAAGGCATGAAGCAACATTTTATTGGATTTAATGATCATTTGAAATGGATCACAAACTTTTTATTGCCAGTGTACATTAAACAAGAAAGAAATCATACCTGGGCCACAGCAGCCTTGTGTTTCTTCATCAGCTCATTGAAGTCCTCTTGGTCCTCCTCCATTCTTGACTGCAGGTCATTCTTCTCTCTCTGCAGACGACTCAGCTGCTCCTCCAGCTGAAAAAAAAAAAAAAAGATATGCCAAAGATCTACAGAGCAAGTAGGCAACTGCTTCTCCAGAAATAAAAAATTAAACTGTCTTCACAAGATTTAGATGAGGTAGGAAATCCTATACAATTCTCGGTCCTATTCAATGCTATGAAAAATATTTGCACACTTCTTGATTTTGTTTTTTAGTTAGTTGTATATTTCTTGCACGTAAATGTTTCAGATCATTAAAGTAAATTTACACACAACAGCAGGTAGGATTGAAAACTTTATATCCTTAATAAATGAAATCACTATCTAACATTTACATTGTGCATTTACTCAGATTAACTTTTTCTAATATTAAAATTTGCAAAAAGAAAGAAAGAAATCGGGGAGGGCATAAATACTCAAAGTAACATCTATTAATCTATTGTTATCAGTTACTATGTTGTAAAACAACACTACCAAGAGAAATTTAAGATCTTGCAGAATATATTTCAAAGTAAAATGAATGAAAATATAAAAGAATGTTGGAAAACGAGTGGAGATAAAATGGCTCACATTACTGATTACACATTAACATTACTCACTGTGCAGTATTTCTGCATTATAATGAATCCCATTAACAGGCATCTGGATAAGTAACAAGAGTGGTTTATAAAATTCAGAGCTTTTTAAGATCTTTTTAAATGACCAAGTAAACTTTCTTATGCACCTTTCGCACCAGATGTACCATCTTTAACATAAAATGTGTGTAGACACCCTAAATCTACAGGAGAGACCAGTGACCCTTTGCAGAAAGCTCATTTCTGCAGTTTATATCCACAATCTAATTCTTTAGTCATTAGCCAGAGTTCATGACCATAAGTGAGGTTGTCAGCATCAAAGTAGCAGAGGCCCACTTCATCGGTCAATCTCCTGCTCCTTTCTCCTGTCATTCATAAATAAGACTCCAAGATACTTAAACTCCTCCACTCGGGGCAGTCACTTTTCCTTGATCCAGAGACACTACTCACAATACACCATCACAATAACTTTTTGGTGTGCAAAGTCTGTCCGACATCATCCCTCGTCACCTCATCAAACTCATCACTGGGCGGTGATCAGGTCCTCTCTTCACCCAAGTGTCCAGAACATATGACAGAGTGGATGATATGATTACAAATCTTATCGTCACAATCATACAAAATTGACCTGCACCTAGAACACATGTCCTGATGCCACATGATCTTATGGACATCCTTCAAAGACGATGTTCATGACAGACAAACTGTTATGTGCACAAGTCTAACAACAGACCATCTTACAGGCTTTTCCTCACACTGTCCTTCAGGTCACATGAGCACTGGGGTCTCCCAGTAAGACAGTAGGACATCTGAAGTTGCAGGGAAACAATCTTCTGATCTGCTGGCAAAATTCCCAATGTACAGGAAGCACACTCAGGGGGATACAAAAATGCTCATCCCTGCCAGCTGCCGCCAGACTGGAACAGAGTCCAGCCCTCTCCAAAAGACTACCAGATTTAACAACAGTTCCCCGTGTTTGTTATAGACGGCATTGATTGTGATTGATTTTAGTTGTTACCATGTCTAGAAATTGTATTAATCATCCAGACAGTTTCTGTTACGTGTGTGGTTCATTCATGACGGAAGCACAGCGTCACCCAATTACCACAAACCTTAAGAAGATATACAAATTGTGCTTTGGGTGTCTGCTGGATGACCAGGATAAATCTTGGGCTCCACACGTCATCTGCAACAGTTGTTCCAATGGACTGCGTGACTGGCTAAATCTGTGAAAGGCCACGATGCAGTCCCGATGATGTGGCTGACGTAGAGCCTACACATGCTGCTCTAATCACAGAACTCACCAGAGGTTATCCAAGCTCCCTGATATAACCAACATACCTAATTAAAAGACTGGCAGCCTGGGAACTGTGCTGATATAATGCTATTTTTGTAATGACTGGGATAATATACAAAATAAGAGGAGAGGTCGTTGGTGCAGGGCAATGGATTAATAAATCATGACTAATGTGAAAATGTTAACAAATCAATTTAGGCACAGAGTTAATGCAAAGAGCTAGTGACACTCAGCGCTTAGTGAAAAACAGTCTAATGGAATAGAGAATGATCCAAACATCCATAGCTTCAAAATCGGGGTTTAGATCATGAAGCTAAGATTTCATTTTATTTTTATTGAAAGCACCGAGTGCTTAGGTGTACCAAGATGCACTTGATGCACTAAAAATATCCATGCGGAATCTGGGGCAAATTCATTTACATATCACACTTTCTTTTTTTAATCCACTGTTGAGTGCTTTTATCAGTGCTGAGTGCTGATAAAAGCTGCGAACGCATCTCCATCTCTGGAGCATGTGATGGATACTTGAAAAAAGTGCCAGTAACCAGCATCAAACTCTCATTTAACAATAGACTGTTAGTGTAATTTCAGCCCAATTACATGGCCGGGCTCTTTGTTTTTTTCTCTTTTATTTTCCCTCTCAGATTGCTAGAAGCTCTTTGTGGAAAAACAAAGCTGTTGAAAACATGTGTGACAATTTTCTCAAAACACTGCAATTACATTGGGAGAAGCATGCAAGCGGCAGCCATCTAAAAGAAATGTCATTTGCATGATTTTATTTCCTATGAATTGTAGTGTCTCGTGTAGTTAGGGCTGCATAAAAAATCCTCCATTTATGTAATTACAATTTCTGTTATTGGTTCTCACAGCCTTTTACTTTTCCAGCAAGCTGGGTGCATGACGAGGTCATTCTCAAAAACAAACAGCTGCTGGCACAGTGGTCTTGATTCCTTATCTCATCTTATATACTCCTCCTTCACATTTTACTGAATAGATTACACACTCTGTCAAAACAGTTAAGCAGTATTAATATCCCGAGATGAATATTTTCTGCAGTACAACACTTTTCAACGTTCGCCAAACAACCTGAGAAAGAACAAATGACGGCTAAGACATCCAGGGTAGAGGGACAGAGGCCATAACACATTCTAATTTAACACATACAGTGAGTAAGTCTGAAGAGGAAGAACATTATGCATTAACCTATTAAAATAATCCACTCATTCTTATTCAAGACAACAGTGATAACCACCATGCCACAGAGAAAGTAACTGACATCTATCACTCCGGAAATGATTGCAAACCACTTCGAGCGCCATTATCCACAAATAGGGAAAACCTGGAAAAATAATAAACCTTTCCAAGGGTGGCCAGCCGACCAAAGTTACTCCAAGAGCGCACCAACAAATCATCCAGGAGGTCACAAACGAACCCAGAACAACAGCTAAGGAACTGCAGGCCTCACCTGTCTCATTTAAGGTCAGGAGTTCATGATTCATCAATAAGAAACAGACTTCAAGAGGCAAATATGGTGGGGGTAGTGTGACGGACCACTTGCCGTAATTGATTGAGCTCTCTACCTCAAAATCCTGAAGGAGAATGGTGGCCATTTGTCTGTTCCCTAAAGCACAAGCACCCTTGGGCTATGCAGCAGTACAATGATCCAAGACAAGAAGTCCACCTCTGAATGGCTGAACAAAAAGCAAAATAAAGGTTTTGCAGTTGTCTAAAGAAAATTTAGAATTCAATCAGATTGAGATGGCTGTGCATAACCTTAAAGAGGCCTTTCACGTTCAAAAACTCTCCAGTGTCACTGAATTAAAGAAGAGTGGGCCAAGATTCCTCCATTGTACTATGTACTAGCTGCACCTGGTTTGGGAACAGCACCAAGCACGACAGACGAGATCTGCAAAGAGCGGTGCGCTCGGCCGAACGCATCATTCAATCAGAGCTCCCTGACCTGCTGTCCATCTACACCAGGCGGTGCAAGACCAAAGCTAGGAGGATTATGATGGACCTCTCCCATCCCAACAATGGACTCCTCTCACTGTTGAGGTCTGGGAAGCGCTTCCGCTCCCTTAAGGCCAAAACAGAGAGAATGAGGAGGAGCTTCTTCCCCCAGGCTATTCGGGCCCTGAACCAGGTGTAGGACTGTACTCTCCCACACATCACATCACCACACGCACTCTGGTTTTTCTTTATGCACACTTCCTATGATTTATAATCTTTATAATCTCTTTCTGCTATTTGCACATTTTTTACTGTAAATTTCTAAGTTAATTTGTAAATTTTTGTAGTAACCTGTAAATCGGAAATACTGTAAAACGTTTTTCTGTCATTTAATGGTCGGGCATCGCACAGCTACAAGCATTTCACCCCCATGTCATACTGTGTATGGTTGTGTGTGTGTGACAAATAAAATTTGAATGTGAATTTGAATGGCTCATTGCCACCAATATCAAACACTTGATCGCAGTTCTTGCTGCAAAGAGTCAGACAACTGGTTATTAGGTTGGTAATAATTACTTTTTTACACAGGGTCAGGTAGGTTTGGAGAACCTTTTTCAAGTAATAGTAATAATAAATAAAATGAAAAGTAAGAAAATACATGTATTAAGTTACCTTTATCAAATACAAAATGCTCTTTGTTGATCTGAAACATACAAGTGTGACAAAATATACTAAAGACTAAGAAATTGCCTTTTGATTACACTGTATCTTCTCTCCTTTTTGCCAGTCGGCTGTTCATTCAAAAGTATTTTTGAAAGAGTGTGTGAATATGAAATGTCACATAGGGTACACTCTGACGTTTTCCAAACTATGACCTGGGTTTAATACAAAAACCTTTTATCTTGTCCAGATTTAACTGTGTTGGCTCATAAATGCTCTAAATGCTCATGCAGCTGAATTCTCAGCGAAGCTCTTCATTAACCTGCATTCACGATGACACTAATTAGAAATAATTAGCAACTGAAGTGAATGTTCAGTGCCATTTCTTCCAGTTTATACATCAGGACAAGCAAGGCAAGCACTGCCTGCCCAGTGAAATCTAAAAATAGGTATCGATTAAACTGTACTGCTCCACAAATGCCTCTGTCAGTGCGCCCCAGGTCGGCTGTGGCTACAATGTAGCTGCCATCACCAGTGTGTGAATGTGTGTGTGAATGGGTGGATGACTGGATATGTAAAGCGCTTTGGGGTCCTTAGGGACTAGTAAAGCGCTATATAAATACAGGCCATTTACCATTTACTGCTCCACAAATGATCTCATGTTGCTTCTTTGAACTCATCCTGTAATTTACTGCCATCTGGTGGTCACCGTTGGCTAGCTGAACAAAGAGTCACCAGAATCTAATTTCTATTATTTTCATGGTGATGTCGATATAACAAACGCTGGAACTTTGTTAGAAAACAGCTGTGAATGCACATTGCTGATGCAAATCTGGCACAAAACTACTTTGCGAAGCACCTGCCCCTGGCCTCACTGCTGTGGAAACAAGAAAAAAACGTGTGGGGCCAGTTTTCTAGCCACCTGCTGGCCTGTTCGTGCCAGTGGCTATTTTCACCAAGCCCAGTTATGAGTTCACCTGGGAACTAGAAACACTAAATTAATTATGCTTTTTTTCTTGTTGTCTGGTTTACTAGCTTATTATTTTGCAGATTTAGATGATGAAGATTGTAAATAATAAACCTTTATATTAATATTTAAAAATATAAAAGGTAAAACCTTTTTTTTGGACCCATAAGCAAACATGGGAGCAGTAAAACGTTTTCCATCACTGCTCTGGGGAAAGGGTACGTAGGGCACTGGAAGTAATAATATATTACACGTCCAGCCAGGAAGGACTGCAGAAAGCTAAAAATAGCCACACAGAGTGCAGCATGAATAAAAGAATAAAAACAGCTGAACACAGGTGTATTAGAATTGACTGGTATTTATATGACACTTTTCTATTCTTCTTCTTTCTGTAATGCAGTGTAATTAATATATATTTATACTGATTTCTTTACTTTTTTCATTTCATTTTTTTGCTCATTGACTATAAAGAATTATGTAGAAGAAGTTAAGCTTCTTCTACATAATACATAATCACTGCAACACTCCATGGTGATTATGTGAAAATCCAGAAACTACCAGAAGCTAAAACTCTTCAAACCACCTTCAGCACAAACAAATGGCTGACCTTGCACCTCTCTACATCTGGCTTCAAGTACAGTGTGCAATGAAATCAATAAAAGACTAGACGTGTGCAGCAGGCTTCACAAGTATAGCAGATTAATAGAAAGCCAAAGGAAACTTTTATTATATAATTATATGATTAAGTATTGATATGTAAAGCCATCCGTTCATTAATTCCATCCATCCTTCCACGATTTGACTGACTAATATTCACCTAAAAATTAAAGTTAATCTTTTTGTTATTTAAATTGGTTTTAGCAATACGTGAACAACCATTGTGTGATAGACGGTCGTTTCTTTTTAACAGGCAGGAGAAGAACCAGAAGGACATTAAACATCACAGAGACAGAGAGTAAGAGCAGAGCAAATGACAGAGAAACATGGGAGAAAGGAGGAAACACACTTTGACCGATGTGTGAAAACCAGATTACCATGGGAACCGGGCTTAACGTTAGATAAGTCGTTCCAAAAAGGACAGAAAATATAAAGGTCAAAACAGATTATGAGCGTTTCTGACAGGAGCAAACTAAGAAAAAAACTACAGAGCTAAAAATGGCTTCTCAGAAGAAGAAGAGAGTTGTATTTTGCAGTGACTAAGAAAAATCTCTTCATGAAAATTATATTGTCTTTATATGTAAATATATTTTTAAAAAAATTTAAAAAGAGGACCAGAAAGAGTAAGATGAGCTCAGAGGGGTCCCACAGGAAACAGGTATGTCTTCAATCTCTCACTAATCTCTAAAAGTAGAGATTCAGCATATCTACTGAGACCCCGCTACCACCACAGATGACATCTTATGCCTTATGACATCTTAAAGAAAATGCCCTACATGGTTGAGACAGCTTTAGCTTTTTCTTAGGAAGAATCCTAACCTTCACCTAAGACTGCATGCTGAAAATTCTCCTTCTAAAGGCTGAGAAGAAAATCTAGTGAGCTGTACTGACCGCCTGTTTCGTTTTGGAAATGTCCTCCATCTGAACATGTAGGTCTTCAATCTCCACCTCCATGGACTTTTTAGCTTTAACTGCAGCTGCACAGGTGAACTCCGACTCCTCTAACTGAAACACACAGACATTGAGGAAAAGAATGAGCTCAGGACGACTTCACAGTTAGTATCCCAGTAGATATATTACAGTTTTTTAATGGATTCTGGTCCCAGTCAAGAATCCAGGTGGCTAGGCTTTATTTGGAAAATCTTCTGCTTTGGATCAAAGGTTTTCAGACGGTTCAGTCCCGTAAGAAGGCTCAGGGGAGTTGAAGTGAGGCCACAGACATTAATGCTTTGAGTCATAACTCAATCACATCAGGAGGTGTTTTACAGCTTAAAGCCTGAAAAACTGTCGCAAAAAATAATCCAAGATTATGCTAATTACCATAAGAGGAGCATAAAATATGTTAACATGTAAATGTGCTGGTGTCAGTATTTGACTTCTTTCATTCTTTGGTGTTTTTCTATCTACTTAGATTAGGGCTCTTTCCATTTTCCCACAAGCCACAGATGATACCATGTTTTTGAAACTGCTGCTGTCAGTAATTTATGAAGTTGTGGCTGTACCTGATTCTTGAGTTGGGCGATCTCCCTCTTGCTGGGTGCGTTATTCTTTATGTGGTCCAACATGATCTGGGCGTCTGCAAGCAAAGCCTTGGTTCTCTTCAAGTCCTTCCTCAAGCGCTTTTCAACCTCTATGTCACCACCTCTCACCTGGGAACCAAGATGACCAAAGTGTGACTCAACTGACTGAGTGGGACAAGTTATGGTAGTTATAGTAGTTATAGTAATACACCGTATGTTTTATCATTAAAGGAAGAATCCTTAGATTATCTAGCATACATAGAACTTTCTGAAAAAATAAAAATTTGACTACAGTGAAACACTACATACGAAGAAAGTAACAATTTTAACTACTAGATAAACTTTAGTAGTTTCTTATTTACTAAAGACAATATTTTTTGCATTACAAATGTTTTAAGTATGTTTGAATAAACAAATGAATTATTACCTTCTCTAAAAGAATATCATGAAACGAAATGAGTGATGCTTACATCCCTTGATAACACAGCTTACTCATATAGTACTAGTTCATTTTAAACATAAACACCTCACACAAGTTTAATTTATTTGTCCATACTCATATAAAATTGAATCTGCAATCAGCAGAAGAAAATTTACATATCTAAGTCCACAAGGCCAAATTTTGCTAAAACCTCGGGTCATACATGTCAGATATTTGTTTACAGTTTTTTTCTTCTTTTTTTTTTACAGATGCTGCTCCGGTTGCATTGCACTGTGTTCACTGTATTTACCTGGTCCTGTACAGACAGAAAGTTCGACTCCAGCTCTCTCTTCTCCTTCAGCACCTTCTGCTTCTCATCATACTCCTCTTCAAGCTGGACTTCCATTTGTTTTAGCTACACAAACACACACACAGTGATGCTTTAGTCGTAATGCAACTGTTCAAGAACCTTTTACACAGTCACCAGATTAACATATTGTTTTCACATGCCAGCTTTTATTGATTAGCAATAGTCAATAAAAGCTGGTTTGGCTCAGTTTGTTCACTTAGAAAGAGAGGTCACTGCAAATCAATACAAAGTGAAACTGGGATCATAATAATGGGTTCATGTCATTGAACAGTTTGCCAACAGTGGGAATCGTGTGCCATGGCCTTCAGCTATTAGACTGCCAACTGAACATTTATTGAAGAATTGTGGACAAGATTGACGGCGCTCTCCACCACCATCACTGAAACGACAAATGAGGGAATTACTTTTGGGAAAACGGTGCCTCATTAGGCCCGCAGAGACCCATGAGATGCAAAGAACCAAAGCAAAACGGGGACCTGAAGTTGCTCTTGTGACATGTAACATGTAATAGCCCAACACCGTATGAACACCTTTTTCCCCCATGTGTACATGGAAATGTGACATATGCCAAAACATCCTTGGACAAGATACAACAGCATGTAGGTGCACGTTGGTTATATGAATGAGGCAGGTACTAGCACCAGTCCATTTAACATCTTGTGTCATTTAATTCATCTTGCTAGTTTCTGGATTCTTGGTGAGTTAAGTTTATAATCTCAGAAAAGAAAGGACTTTTTTCTCAAACCTTTCAGAGTATTTCAAGAAGTGAAGGCTGTTAGTGAGGTTTTGATTAATTACACACTGATCCTACCCTGTGAGTCAAGTCAAATCCACCATTTTTAATTCTATTGCACATTTAAAAACAATAGCTGTTCTCTGAAGTGCACCTAAAAGAAATATGCACACAAAGTCAAGCATCAAGGAAAAACATTTAAAACAGGGTACACGTTAGTTCAATGGTTTTCTGTGGTGTCTAGAAACCATAAACAACACTGAATTGATAGCAGCTTGACTGGATTTTGTCATATTGTTGTCATCATTTCATTTATCCTTTGCTGTGCATGCCCTTACTGCTAATTTCATCAGTGTCTCTGGATCTAGTCTCTAGCTGTGCCCAAAACCACACATTTTAATCCTGCTTCTCCTAAACACTTGCTGACAAGTGTTACAAAATGTGAAAAAGCACTTTCTCACCTTTTTGCTACATGACTGCCTGATCTCCTCCACTTCCTCATCTTTGTTCTCAATCTCCTTGGAATGGGTTTGACGCAAGCGCTCCATCTCCATCTCAAGACGTAGCTTACCCTGAAAGAAACACAGACCAGATGCTCTGGACTCACTTTGGCTTAAAGAAGCATAATGTTCATGTTCCGTCTTTGATGGAGGTATGTGTCCGATGCCATTCATATTTCACAAAATATACTAGCAATATACTGGCATGACTTTCAGAAGGAGTTGAATGTGTACAAAAACAAGAATGAGATTTTGAAAACTTTCTTTAAAGTTGCAGGATACTGGACTTGGATGTGGATGCACACTTAATGTAGTTTTTGTTCCAAACTGTCATCTTTGTAATCTAAAAAGCATGACTACCATCCTTAATACTAGTCTAAAAATAGCTTTAAAATATCTTGATGCATGCTCAATCATCCAGTTAAGGAAATCCCAAAAAGCTGGTCCTGTTCATATGGACGTAGTGTTTCAGTGGGAGAAACGTTTCGTCACAAATGACATCACTTGGATGACTTCATGATCCGAGAAAGTGACTTGGTCACTTGAATGAGTGATGAAACGTTTCTCCCACTGAAAACGCTACGTCCATATGAACAGGACCAGCTTTTTGGGAATGTAAATACAAAAAATTTTACTAAGCAAAGTTTTTTCCTTTTTCGTGTGTACCTGCTCCAACATCTGGATGGTACCAGCCTGCTCATCAAGCTCTTCTTCTTGGTCTTTCACCTTTGCCTCTAGATCACGAAGCTGCTTCTTCACCTGCATAGAAAAAAAATGATGTTCCAAAATGAATACCTGATATTCAATTAATAAATTAATGCACCATCATATATCTATTTTAGTTGAACAGACAAAGAACAGTTTTGATTTTTTGTGGGTGTGGACTGGCACAAACAGATGGAGTGGATGGTTGGACTAACTAAAACAGGAATAGGACAGACCTTGGCCAGTGATGCCTCATCCTTTGATTCTTGGGAGTTGAGATCCTGCAGCTCGGCCTCCAGCTGCTCCAGCTTCAGGTTGACTGCACAAGCTTCCAGGTCTTTGTCCTGCAGGACAGGTGATTAGAGTCAGAACACAGAAAAGGGAACTGCCACATGTGCACGATGGGGAAAAGTTGAGATACTCTGCTCTACACATAGCCACAAAGTGAAAACACACAAAAGGGAAGTTACAATTACAAGTTACAATTACAAGCTTGTTCTCTGTAACAAGCACAGTATGAAGCTGGAGGTCTTTACAATATATTACAACTGCAATCAAGAGCTACAAGTTTCCGTGAAAAAAAATTGTAGACTTGGCATGAGTTGGACACACAATTAGAATAAAAAATCTTGTATGATGGCTGTGCAAGCCAAAATTCATTCTTTCACTCTCACATAGTTTTATTTTAATTTTTATATTTAGATATTTTTATTCTCATGTTTACACATATTTAACACACACACTGCAATATTGTGTTCTCTTATACATGTATTTTAATGTACATATTTACA